ACAAAGACACAATATATATATATATATATATATATAACAAAGATCCCCACGTACACAAGTAAAAAGTACCCCAAAAATATCGTTTTTTGCTACTGTATTATGAATCTTTTGCTGCCATTCTCTCCCAGACTTCGTGAAAGTTGCGTGATATATGCTTTTGAAAACCTTGGGAAACCAAGGCTTTTGCGGATGAACGCTAGCCTGACATTAAAATTCGTTTGATCATGCAGTGCCCATGCGATCATTTGCAGCTGTTGTTTTGAAGGCAACTATTATGGTGTTTTCCATCCTGTCTACATTCATTATTTCAGGATGCAGGTGAGATGGTTCGATCATTTGTGGGTGGTCTGGAACTGATTGTCAGCTTACTGCGCTCCAATAACATGGATGTGCTGGCAGCTGTATGTGCAGCTGTCTCCAAAATTGCTGTTGATGAGGAAAATTTAGCTGTAATAACTGACCATGGTGTTGTTGCTTTACTGAGTCGCCTCACGTGCACGGTAAGTTCTGGTCGATTATGGATTTGTTTAAATACAGACCACCTACAGAGTATGCCATTTCAAACAAAATGCCAAACAGCATCCTTTTGCTTCGCAGTTTCTTTCCGACTGTCTATTTCATCAACTAAACAACTACAATGACTTCTTCGCATGTGGAAAATGTCCGATTATGTCTCTGTCAAACATGACTGCATTCCCTCACTAGAAAAGGCCATGAGACAAGTTTAGTCCAGCATCAGTTACTCCACACATGACCCGGATAAGTTGTTATTAAAGCTCGTGTCTGAAATTCGCCATGGATGGTTCAGTTAGAGGACAGAATAAGGCAGCACCTCAGAAAATATCCTCTACTCGCTCCCAATCTGACCGAAGTTTGGAATCAACAAGTCGGTGGCATGACACTAATGCAACACTCTAATAAGATGTGATGCCAGAAGCAGCGCGTCCCAAAAATTACATTTTGTCAACCCGAAGTATTACTTCTCTTCCTAACACTTCTCTTCTTACACATATTCACGATTTCTGTGTCATTTCGGCAACAACCTTTTTCTTCTAGGTTCACTCCTGGAAGCGCAATTTTCCGGGCCAATAAGGCAGACAACAGGGATGAAGTGTTGTGTTTCCTTTTTGATTTTGCTTTAGCCAATGATAGAGATGCCTATCAATCACTTAACATATGAACATGTGTGATTGCGCATGGTTGATGGGGCATGGGCATGGTGGTCTGTTTTTTTTTATAGTGGGATATCATTTGCTTTTTTAGTAATGAAAATTTTCAATAAAATACCTGAATCACTGCTAATCATGCGTGTTATTTCAGCGAGGTGAAGTTATTCCAGTATCTGGTGAACAGCGGAAAATATGCTCTTTAACCTTCTCCTATGCCTTTTGCTTTTAGAAGGACGACAAACTTCGGTGCCCTCTCACCGAGGCTATTGCACGATGCTGCACGTGGGGAACAAATCGCGTAGAATTTGGCCGGGCTGGTGCAGTCAGCCCTCTGGTCGGCTACCTTAATTCTACCGATCCAAACGTGCACAGGTCTACAGCCAAAGCTCTGTTTCAGTTAAGCCGGGATCCCAACAACTGTGTGACTATGCATGACGCCGGAGTCGTAAAGCCCCTACTTCAGATGGTTGGGTCCCCCGTGAGTCCTCCAGCAGAATAATGGTGATATGTCCAAAATAATTTTACATGCTAAAGCAAACTGTGCCATATAAGAGATTGTATGCTGTTGTGAGGTGACATTTGTGCTGACTAAATCGTTCTTGTTTACTAATATGATGAGAATCCGCTTGATTTCTTCCATAAGCTCATTGCAATCGAACTCGCAGGCCAACCCATTGTGAATACTTTTCTACCAACTTCAGCTGACAGTCGGATTCCAAACTAACAATCTTGTGACATTTTTAAGATGTTTCATTAGATTTTCCGATCTACTTAGTTGAGCTGTAAATAAATGCTAGTTTTTCAGCTCTTTGGAAACCTCATTATGTACATCTACTCTGCCGTAGATCCATAGAACATATCTGCCAATAATTTTTAAGATAAATATACGCAAACTGACGTAAGAATTACTACCAAAGTCCGCATGGTACAAACCTTTTTTGTGGGAAAATCAAGCCTGTGGCATTATGTTCCAACACTTTGATTGCGAACTTTACTTCACTTTAGACTACTATTTCCCGCCAGAACATGAACTGGCTTTATTACTGTCTCGTTTCACAAATGATAATGATTAAGCGGTATCGCAAAGGGATATTTTCTCTATTACTTTAGCAAACAACCTCATGGTAAACTTCGGAAAGAAACAAAAATCTGAAACCCTGTCAATGCTGTTCTAATGACTTTTATGAAGTTCTCAGAAATCTGATTGCCGGTAGTGCGCCTTAAATTAATCCAGCCACTCTTCTTTGGTTAAATTAATCACTGTGAGTGGATGCCGGTCCAGTTCCCAGGGTTTCAGACCATTGGGTTGGCGCTAATTATTGAACAGTGGTGTTTGTCTCAAAGTGATCAACAGCGAGCCTACAACGGTTTTCACTTGTAGTTTGATCGTGTATAAGTAAAATTGGACAAAAACACTACCATCGAATGACTTAAAAGTTATCCAAGAGGTTGACTTATTCCTTTTAAAATTCAGCAGGCAAGTTATCCTGAAAGTTATTGTTGCTGACAGCTGGTTGGTAAGACAAAGATACCCACAAAAAATTAGGAGCTGGAACCAAATTTAATTGCAGTTGGAATTCCACTGTATTGACCCCCTGGAGTATGTTCTGCGGATTGTTCGGTATCATTAAAAAGTTGCTTCAGTAGTTCAGTGCTTTTGATCTCAAACGACAACTGAGAACTTTTCGTCTTCAGCACACCACAAGTATGTGACGAACGGAAACAGGTGAGCTGATGTAAACTAAGCAGTTTTAGTAACCGAAAGTCAAAGGAAGTCACGAACAAAGTCACAGAGCTATTTCATTTGTTGCAATCTTGAAGTTTTGCGGGATAGGTATTTTGTTCATAGTCACATCACTCTCGTTTGAACGGTCCTGCTCCTGTTCTGGCGTAATTATTCCGGTGAGTCCACACTAAAGGGAAACGCTGGACTCGAGTTTCACTCCTATTGGAGCTCATCAGCAGCACATATCCAATGGCCGTGCGGGGATTTGACCCCCGGATATCTGACATGCGAGGCGAGCGCGTAGCCACTACATAACCAACGCACGTTGGACGCATCTGAATTTTTGACCTCTGAGCAGCCGAACGTGTTCACATTTGAGCGATGTGATTGGTGTACCCGACTCATCGAACGACGACCCAGTAGCTGTCCTGATTGTGACGATCAGTAAGTAGTAGGCTATGTATGTCAGTAGGCCATGTATCTCTAAGTGCACATGGTTCGTAAACTTTATTGTGATCAAGAAAAAACAGACGGGTTTGAGTCTCTCATCGCCAGTTAAGAATGACTGATAACTGAGAATTCACCAAGAATTATGCAATACTATTTAAGTAAACGAGGAGGGTTTTGAACCACTTTTGATTAGGCTTGTAATTTTTAACAGAGGTTTGTCTGACTTGTTCATTTTAACCTACACATAAGTAAAGCGTTGTTTGTGCATATGTAGGTCGTTGCATTACTAAGAGAACGATTTTACTGTTCCTCTTCAGAAGCCTTTCTTTTCCTTCTGCAGTGCCAAATGCAGTTAAGGGTTTCCAAATTCCTATGAATGTTGAAATGTATTCTCCAATTTTGGCAGGATTTATAGTGTGCAAAAATGCTAAAGACATTGCAAAACTCCCTTACTCAGCATCACTGATATCTTTACATTTATTGCTCTAGGACATGGAATTACAATCCGCGGCCGCGGGTTGTATAAGCAACATTCGTCGCCTTTCTTTGGCAAACGAAAAAGCTCAACTTACACGGTTGCACGCACAAAAACAAGATAAAAAAGCAAAGGAGCAAAAGCTAGAAGTAAAGAAGAGAACAAAAATAGTTGAATTGAAGAAAAGCGCAACACCAACGGACCAACCGGATGAAGTACAAAAGCCACCGGATTCTCCTCAGTCCCCACAACACAAACCATCGAACGAGGTGCCTGATGGGGATGAGGGAAGACAAGTTTCAAACGAGAAGGAGGCTGAGAAAGTACAAAACGAATCCACCGCCAACTAGTCCATCAACTCGCATTGAAAAAAAGAGAGGAATGATGAAGATTGACTAATGCAACACCAGGGACAATTTATGTGGCTAACAAAATTCCTTGTGGTTCTGAGATTTTTCATTTAGGAGCCATAAAAGAACAGAGTAACAAACCCGTTTTACATAGCTAATGCGCACAATGCAAGATGACCCATATTGTGCCTTCACTTAAAGGTGAGAGTTTTCAGTATATTTTCCACTTGAAGGACGTCTTTTCCTTCTCTTTGGCTTGCAGATTTAAGATAGAATCGAAATTACAACTTATTCAAAATTCTTACAAAGAAAAAACAGCAAAAATGACAGTCTAGATGTGGATTCTGATATCAAGAGTTTAAGGGGTAATTAAATCCCTGCTTTCACTCTCAGGGTGTAGTGATTGATCTGAGCTCAGGAACAAAAAATATGGCGTTATTGGCGCAGAATAAACGTGTCAACTGATCATAATCTTTCAGTTCTCCGAAGTCAGGTGCTAAGCGTCTGTCCAGAGATCATTACTGACAAATTGACACGAGGCCTGCCGTACGACGTGGTTTAGAATTTTCGCTTTCACAGCAAGACAGGTTGAATTCTCTGCTTATACTTCAATTCACGATGCGTTTTAAACTTCTTTATGCAGAACAGACGTGTATAAATGTAGTGAAAAATATCTGGCCTGTAGTCCTACATTTGCTCTCTTTACGTTACTTAAAGCGAGCCCTCTTTCGGATACATTCAGAAACACGTGCCTTGGTTGGCATTTCAAAGTATACTGCAGTTCAACGCTGACCATGGTGTAGACATGTATATTGTCTGTGTCCAGTGCTCATCCACTTAGTCCTTATTTAAACGGCTTCCCCTATTCTGACAGGATCACTTTGACGTTTTCCACCAGATAAAAAGCACTAGGCTGTAGTCTCGCTTTCACTGATGTTCACCAAAATCAGTGGTTTTTGGCCTCATCATACAATCATTCGCGACAGCAGGGAAATCCTAATGTTCAATGTGTCGGCCAAATTATGTATATTTTTTCTGATTTGCTTATGTAGATGTGTCGGCCTTGCGTTTATCTGAGTTTGCTTACACGCCTGAGAAGCACATCACGTTGTCGCGACTAAAATAAAAGTGCAATGGGATAACTGTGGTGCAGTGTGCTCTTATATGAGCGCAACCCGGATTGGTGTGGAATAAGAAGAACTATGACAAGACAGACTAGGGAGTGCTTAAACCGAAGAGTTCATGAAGATGAACTCACTCTAACTCTACAACAGTAACTGAGGTGCAAGAAAATAGACTGCTATTGAGGGGTCGTGGAAGTAGTCTTGATTTTTCTGTGAAATACACACATAGAATGCGTGATACGCACAATGAAATTTTGGAGGGATAATTGAGAGTATTCGTAGTGTTGGTGCAGCAGCTGTGAACTTTTGTTTGAGTAAATTGTTAATCACTACTACAGTATTTTCAGCTTCTTTGGGGTAACGGACACGGTACTGTCAGTATTCTGTACCTTGTTTCTTTAAGGCATGTGTGCAACCTGTGGCTTTCAAAAACTTGCCAACCAAATTTGAAATCAGTCGTAACATTTCGTGATTCCATGATGATATTGAGGTGGATTAAATCAGGCAGCCTGAGCAATTGATAGAAAGAAAATAAAGGTTGAGTATCATACCGATTTACTTATGAATGCTGATTGTTTCGCCTCGCCAGCCATATGGCGAGCAACTTCAAGAGTACAAACGTGCATATATATATATATATATATATATGGCTGAAGTATATTTTACTTCATACACATCCATGTGTGAGCTCCTTATTTGCAACTCTTATCGAGTGCCTGTGTAGTTCTAGTTATTGCAAGCCTTCATTGACTAGTCAGCATGGTTGGGCACATAAACGTCATGGGGGCACTGTAACCTGACTGTAAATTTTTATCACTAAAGCACGTGACAGAATTTTCACATTTGCGCTCCGTTAACGCCAAAACTACGGTGGAATGGGATGATAACTTTCCCGACTATTATTTCGGGGGCATCTCAAGCAGGAAAATTGTTTCAATGAATATAGCGTTAGAGCATAAATTTGCTGAAATATAACGGATGGACGTTTCGGATCCCTCATATAGAGAGAAGGTAAATAGATATTTTCACTTGTTGCACCTCGTCCGAGATATATGGGTTGGGGCAATTGCTAATTTTTCCTTACTGGACTGAGAACCGGGTAAGGCATGGAACCTCTAGCCAGACTGCCTAGCCTAAGTTTTTATGTCATTGTGTGATGCACTATCATATGTTGAGTTCTGCGTTGGACAGTGCCCCGCCGTCTTTGTAGCTGTCTTATTTGGACATGATACTCTTATGTTTTCACTCCAATGGTGTTTGAATTTACTAATACCATTGTCTTCATATATTTTAGGATAACACTTAGCTATTAGGACAAAACAGCATCATTCCGTTTCTTTACTGTTTACCAGGATGTTCTTTAGTTAGCGGCGTATGACAGCTGGGGAATGGTCTTTGAAAATAACGTGGTGCTGCCAAGACTCCTGATGACGGCCATTTTGGCTGTACAAAATAATTAGCCATGAGGCAGTTTCTATATTGAGAGCAGAGCGACATACGCCATGTACAGGATAACGCATGTGGATGTTTGTGCTTTAGCTAAGCACTGCTGTAAATACAGCGTGTTATTCCTGTCCTGGAATAATCTGCCGGTTTGTTTTATTCCAGGTACTTTTCTTGAGCCAGGGAGGTAATTTTTAATACCAAACATAACGGTGGCTGTTTGGAAGAATTTTGTAACGAACACTTCATTCTATCTCATATTATTTAGGCTGAGAAGAAAACAATGAGTGAAATATCCAACACCTATCTCAAAAGTTCTCTGAAAAAAAACGGGAAATATCGAAAATGGAGGCTTTGCCCTCTTAGCTAATCATTGTACATGAAGCACAAACGAATATTGCACACGGGTGTAAAAAAAACTCGGATTCAGGCGATTGCTCATTCGTCAGCGAATGACTGCTAAATCTTTAACCTCGTGTGCAAAGTATATTTGAATGCCTCACTACTTGTAGTTTATGAATCAAATTTTCTCATACTAACTAAGAAAACAGCTAGTTGTAATATTCAACACGTAAGCAATGCTATTTACACGAATGCAACCTTGTTAAAGTGTGGGCAAAGAGCACAGCATCTTGAATTAATGCGTTACAATAATGCGGAATTGAAATGTCAGGTTGGCTCATCCTCGAAAATTCAGTCTGCTGTTTGTGGCCAATTGCAAAATCGAATTCTTCGTCACATGACCCAGAGTCAAATATAAACATTTCCACTGTCAGCGGCACAATCCCACGCCATCAACTGCTAACTAATTCTAACGTTCCCCGAATCCTTGAATATTATTCAATCGGATCAATTTCATAACTTATTGTCGTAGTAACCAGTTTATTGGAAAAAAAACACAATACAGATCATGGTGGCTTGTTCGCTGAGCTGGACATTGATTGCAAACGTTTCATCACAAATCGAGTTGACATCATCAGTCGTTTTTGGGGAGCCTAGTGGTGAGTATCGGTGGCTTGGTGGTTCTGCTGAATGATCATGGTGCTGAATTTTTAGCCGACGATGAACAGAATGCATCGCCTTTGCGTCCGTCGGCTGTGAAAATTCATTGTTACACTTATGCTGAGTTAGGCGATTCCACATACCCCTTTTTTGTTCCACGATGGTTAAAATCATTTATTTTGAAGCAAAATGAGGCCAAAAGAATTCTTTAGAATGGATGCTGCAAAGAGGACCATAAGTGATAGCTCAAAGTCTTTGCTGTTCCCTTGCGGACAAATGGACTAGGTGTAAGTCAAGCAGGAAAAAGGTATGCAAAACAAAACTACAGAATGTGACACAATAAAACAAGCAACACAAGATTAACCGAAAAAGCCTGTAACATTTCGTAAGCTGAATAAAGAGAAGAATATCCGGGCAAAGACTGGCAGAATTTACAACAATAAAGCATTTGTCTTTGTCCAGAGAGAGGCAGGAAAAACCTACTTTTTTCTGACCTTTTCGTTCTCCTTGCATGATTGTTCAGTTAGGTAACAAATATTTCTAGCAAAATTTCCAATTCTTGTCAAAGAATCCAAAATAATACACATGTTTTCGGAGGCATATGATAAAGTTCTACTGTCTCCCATATACAGAAATTTGTAACACTCCCCAAACGGTATTCCCACGACCACAGATGATATTCCATACCCGACACAAAATTCACTTACTCCATGGTGTGTAATATCTATGACAACAAGAAAAATCGCTCAGCAGCATCTATTTTCAGGGAATAAGCACGGTCGCCACACTGATTCGCAGGTCTTTTATGAACTCTGGATAGACATTTTTCTAAAGGAGTGTGACCGTAGTCGACGTAAGAAATAGGCGAATTGCAGGGAGTCGGAAACTTTATTTGACCAGTTCTACAACTACAATGACGACTGATGGTTCTACATCCTCCTAATTAACGTCTCTCTTTAAGACTATGAATGACGTAGACATTTTATAAATGTTTTTAAAGCTATTGTAATGATAAAAACCTATTACGGCTGCTGATTTCTACAGGTTAATGGAAAATTATGTAACAAGTCACAGAAACTATAGTGTCTGTGTACTGGTCTTGGCAGTACTTCAATCTCTACGAGGAGTTAAATAATGGCATTGTGGAATTGAACTGATTGACCAAGGCTCTAATCCTACTTTAGTCGAGGAGTTCCATCAGTAGCGGAGGAACCAACAAACCTGATCAGTGTGATTCACGTTTTGGAAACCAAACCATCAACTTCCATCATTTCAAGTGTAGTATGCTTTCGGCAAAGAGCAAATGAATGAAAAGCAGCTGTTAAAGGATGTGCTTTAACAGTTTTTTGTTCCTTTGGACATTGGGTGCTTACTTTTATTGTGGCACACAATGGGATTGGTATACAGATGTTGAATATACACAGATGTGTTTGCCTAGACGGATGACTAAATCATCCCTTCTTCCTATGAGGCACAGGCTTCAACAACGAAACCACCTAAAGAAGTTATTGGAGGCACTCAAGCATTTTGCAACTCCTTTTAGCAAATCGTTCTAAAATCAGATAATACCCGGTGGTTTTTTATTCTCTCTGGCGATTACGAATTGGCACTCACGCAAAAATGTAGGTTGATAACACACTTATGGAGAGTCTCCTGTGGACACATG